TACAGGGATAAAGCAAATTTTTACCCTCCAGATTTTGGGGGGATTTCAAACTCCATTAACCCTGGTCATCACATTTTTTAAAAAATTAACTCTTAAATTAACCTTGGTCACCACGATACAAAAAAATATGCCAACTCTAGAAAGAGTGCAGAGAAGAGCAACCAAGATAATAAAGGGCCTGTAGGATAAATCACATGAGGAATGGTTAAGGAAACCATATGTCTAGCCTAATAAAGAGAAGAATTAAGAGAGAGATGATAGCTGTCTTCCAGTACATGAGGAGCTGCCACTGAGAGGTGGAGGTTGATTTATTTTCCAGAGCTCCTGACAAGAAGCAACGGGTGGAAGCTCATTAAAGAGAGATCCAACCTAGAACTAAGGAGAAACTTCCTGACAGTTTGGGCAATTAACCAATGGAACAGTTTGCTTGCCAAAGTTGCAGGTGCACCATTGCTGGAAGTTTTCAAGAAAGGATGGGACAAACATTTGTCTGGGATGATCTAACGTCTCCTGCAGTGGGCAGGAAGGTCGGTCTTGAAGACCTCCAAGGTCCCTTCCAGTCTTATGACTCTATGATTCTAACTCCATCTAGCATAGCCAATGGCAATACGTTATTTTGTTGTGGCCTAACAGGTTATATATTTCTGAAAGGCATGAAGGCAGATGGCTTGGGGCACTTCTCTTAGGAATCTGTCTTCCTTTGAATCTTTGTGTAGCAAGTCAAGTTTATAGTGCCAAATTTGAATTGCTGTCTTTTTTTTTCGTCCCATTTTTAGTAGTTGCATTGCAAGCAGGTAACCCAAGATGTCTTCTGCTAGAAAGAGCTATAGTCACTTAATTTGATAGGTAAAAACTAAATTAAGATTTTTGTCTTGTTTTACTTTGTGAAAAGGAATAGCTGCCATGTTCTTAGTTATAGGGGATTCTACAGCTAAATTCACTGCAGATCATTTTGCCCGGTCTCAGAAAAGCTATGGAGAATCAGGTCTGGATAAAACCTCAGTGGGGAACCACCAGGAAATTTCTGGGGAAATTGGAAAATACCCTAGAAATAGGAAACAGCAAACCCTGTCATACTGTCACCAAGAAAACAATGTAGTTAGCAAGAGTCCAGCTGGACTTAGAAAGCTTTAAAGCTTTAATGTTGGAACTACTGGTAATATGTTTATGCCTTTCTTATCCTGCAATAAATTCAGGGCAACAATTTTAATCCTAATATGGAGATTGAATTGCACTTGTGTAAAAAGCACCAAGTGGCTTTCAGAAGGAAAGGATTAGCCACAGACATCACCATCACCTGGGGGATGCCCAGTTGGAGCTGGAGAGAAGGACAGGAGCTCAACCGCATCCCACGGCAACTCTCAAGTCTTAACCTCCAACCCAGAATCCCAACCACGCAAGCCGCTGTGCTCCCAATAGGGAGAGAGAAGAGGATCTAATTCTTTGCTTCCTGAAAGCAACTAAATCAGATCAGCAACTTAGAATGTTTTAAAAAGGATATATTGAAAAAAGCTTAGGGAGAGAGATGGGTGCAAAATGAGTCAATCTTTTTGGAATGATTTCCAGCTAACAACCTTTAGTAGAAGACAAAATCTTTCTAAATAGTCATACCCCATTATATACACAAGCAAAATCATACTAAATAATGTTAATGTAAATATTCTAGTCTGATTCCATATCACTACTTTCAGAACTAATCTCCCTTGAAGTCATTTTAATATGAGGTGGTTAATATTACTATTCCATCACAAACATTCACCATACATCATCAGTACTTGCGCACATACATGCCCCAGTCACTCTTACTATGAATAAAGGATTCCAACCAGAATGACTAATGGGCTTTCTGGAATAAATGAGTATTCAGGTTCTTGTTTCATGAGTCTTGATTTTTAGAATTACTAGCAGGGGCCTGAGACACTCATACTGATTATGCATTGCTGCATCACGAGGAGTGAAATATGAAGTCTGGCTCTATATTCTGTTCAGATTGCATCCTCAGAGTGCAAATCCATCTGGATTGCTTTGGGGCATGAATCATTTATAAGGCATGAGAACAATGGGAAAGGTGAATCTGATTTGCTCGGTGGTATTCCAAGGCTAGCCCTGCTCCATATATTAAAGTAGTGTTCAGCCCGCCTCTTTAAGATGGTTTGTAATCAAAATTGTAGGCAGGTGACTCTTGCTAGAGAGGGCAGAATTGCTTGAGCAAATATAGCAAATGCCCAGGAAGGACAGGATTTGAACAGGGTGCAATGAAGAGCAGCAAGAAGATGCTGTCTTCTTAATCTGTAAATGAATGTAGATGGAGGTAGACTGAAAGAATGCTGCAAACCTCCTTGGTCCTTAGCCTACAGAATTTGCTCCTTGGAACTGGCTATATTTAGACAAGAGAAATTGAAATAGTTAAACACTTTTTTCCTCAATGCTACCAGAAACAAACTTTAATAAAGGAAACTTGTGGAAAGGCAGGGAAAAGAGGTAATTTCAAGAAAAAAGAAATGTGGTCAACTTTTTCCTATCCCACCTCTCAAAGATGGACTGTGAATTTCCATTTGTACCTTAACAAAACTGTGTAGTATATAGCAACTTCTTATTTAGCAATAAAGACACCAAGAAAGGAAGTAGTTACATTTATGTATTGGGCTCTTTTCTGAATGATATCGCCATGCTCAGAATATGTGTTACTAATAGATTCAGTTTTCTTCATCATTCTGTTGTTGCATGTCTCATGTTCATATTTCTAACAGTGTACATGTACTGTAGGAACATATGTTAATTGTTGTTAACCTTGCCTTGTTTGGAAGAAGGCTTTTTCCAGCATGATTTTAAAAAGGAGAGAGGTTTATAGGTTGCTATTTGAGATGAGTGAAGAAGTTTTGATTGCAGGATGGAGAGAAATCCCTTCACAAATACAATATTTATGTCCTTAAAACAAAGCACAAAGCCACTAAAGAGAATATGCATAAATGTTCATAGCTTTCCTTACTGAAAGTCCTAAATGATTAATTACAGAATATCATAGGGCTTTCCACCCACTGCTTGAGTCAACAGAAAAGTGTACTAGCATGCAGTTTTCTGCTTCCATTCGTGATTCCTGCCTCTAAGTCATTACCAAATGTGCCATCTGGATTATGCCTTTGTAGTGTGATAGGCAAAGAAACTGATTGAATCCTCTACCTCACTGTCCTCTTCTGAACTTAAATAACCAATGGGGGAAAGCTGCTAATCAAAATACTACCACAGCAATGGGGCTAGTTAGAGTGCCAGTGTTTCTCAACCTTGACAATTTTAAAGCATGTGGACTTCAACTCCCAGAATTCCAAGCCAGCATTGCTGGCTGTGGAATTCTGGGAGTTGAAGTCCACATGCCTTAAAATTGTCAAGGTTGAGAAACACTGAGTTAGACTGTCCTTCATCTTTAAGCCCCTTCCTGTTTGCTTTTTCCCACATCATGCTACCATAAACCAAGCAGTAAGAGGGTCTCTGAATGAACAGACGAGTGCCACCCTGAGTGCAATGAGTTTTTATAGAGTTTTCCATAGAGTTTTTATTGAGTTTTATTCCAATGGTTTGGGGCTTCATTATTTGTATAGTTTTGAGCACCATCAGCATTGTTATTCTAGGCAATTGTATAACTATTTTAAAATAACTAAATAAATAAAGTGGGGGGAACACCAGGGTGATAAGAGGCATTGAGCCCCAAACAGCACATTTATTTAGAATTTCTCTCATTTATTTATATAGGAAACAAATGCCAACTTTAGATTCTTCTGTGTTTTATTCAGGTGTCAGTGGGAATTGGTCCTGTCATTCCAGTAATTTACTAGTCCAGCCTTGCACTAAACTAAGAAGAATCACAAAGTGAAAGAATCTGTAGCACTCCTAAGAGGTTTGCACTGTTATACAATTCAGGCAGACAATTTAAATTTGCCAATCACAGACTATTTCTATTATTCTGGACAGGACATTTCATATTGTACTGCTTGTGACAGAGAGCTATTTGCATTCAATTAGAGTAGGGGCGGCAAAGAATACCTTATTTTATTTGGCCAAGTGTGATTAGACACACAAGGAATTTGTTTCTGATGTAGTAGCTCTCAGTGTACATGCAAAACAACAGAATAACAATACCATAATCATAATAATGATACTAATAAGACAAGGGGTAGTAATACTACCATCATACTACATGTGTAAATATGCTTAGATATAAGACAGTACTGTGGGAATTAGGTGATCAGCAAAGTGATGGCATGAGGGACAAATTGTCCATGTATCTAGGAACTCAATGTGAACCAATGTGCTAGACCTCTAGCACTGCTGTGCATATCCATGTAACACTGGTACAGGGGCTGCTGTGTTTTAAGTTTTTAGAGAAACATCAGCAGAAAGACAATAGATGAGACTGACAAAAAACCATGCCGAGGGTGGATGCTCATATCAGCCTTAAATGGGCAGTAAGGGTCTCTGTATTGCCACTACTTATCACCTGAAATTGCCTGACTTCCAGTGTAATGGATTTGTGACTGTCATAGGATGTCACCAGCATTAACAAGAAAACAAAACTTTAACAAGTTAAGGACAACTTAAACCTCTATCACTAATGGGTTTGAGATGAGATGAAAGCAATGGCCTGGGAAAACTGCAGGAAAATGATGCTGCTGGCACATATTTGTGCCACTAACAGATGTGGGGCACAGCCTAAGAGGGCCATAAATGTAGTCAAAACCATTTCCATTGCATAGGAGCATAGGATCCACTATCATACACTCCTTTGCAAGAGTCTAAGTGAGGTTGCTTTAAACTGTTGCAGGGTTTACATTGTTTAAACTATACCAATATATAAAACATTGTTTCAAATTCGCTTAGTGTTCTGCAAGTTTTTGATGGCTGATCTTTGCAGTAAGCTCATATGTACACCATTGGTTCCATTGATGGACCTTATCATAGGTTATTAGTGCCTTCCTGATCCTCATTATCTTGCTTACTTAGGTGTCAAGATGTCATTGAAAATACAGACAAGTAACATCACAAACAAGAATGATCCCAAGTCCATCAACTCCAGGGTCTTCATTGGGAACCTCAACACAGCAGTGGTCAAGAAGTCAGATGTAGAAACCATCTTCTCTAAATATGGCAGAGCGGTGGGCTGCTCTGTGCATAAAGGCTATGCATTTGTACAATATTCAAATGAAAGGCATGCACGGGCTGCTGTCCTAGGGGAGAATGGGAGAGTACTCGCCGGTCAGACTCTAGGTAAGGTCTCCTTGCATCTCTCTCTATCTTCCCCTATATTTTCTAAGAAAAATGAAGATTGCTGTGGAATTGTAAAAAGCACTTTTCATATCAGACTAAAATAATTACTCCCCAGTCATTTTGCAGTGAAATTTGTCTTCTATAGTAGAAGAATTTTTAAATATTTAAAGTAAAAGAGGACTCATACAAACACTGCTGTCCTAATAATATTTCAAGAGGAATAGCTTTTCAACTTGGGATTAAAGTAAAGGACCTCAGCAAACACAAAATGATAAGCATGAAAACATTCCACAGCCTCAAAACAATATAGAAGTCTAGTATTGGCTCTAAAATACAAATATTAAGAAATGTTAAGATTCTTCAAAAGTCACAAACAAGTTCTAAATGGACACAATGGATATAGTTGTTCAGCTGCTTGGAAGTTGCATAGAAAAAAAAATGGGGTTGTTTCCTGGTAAAGTACATGCTTTGTAATGCAGAATGTCCCAGGTTCAAAAGACATTTCTAGAGCCACTTAAATCAGAGAAGACCGTTCCAATGGACAAATTGTGCTTATAATCATAGACATCTGCAACTAGCCACAATGATGCCAAAAAGTCAAAACTGACTTGTAATGTCCCAATGTAGGCTCTGCACTTTTAACACTTGTGAAGGGACATTGTATGCAAATACAAATAAGGAACAGAGTTTACATTACAGCAGTCCTTTCATCTTTCCCAGCCACTCATCTCTTCTGTGGATCCCTTTACATTTAGTTTGAATAAGGCAGACATTCTCCAGCCTGGAGCCTCATGCAACCCTAAGCCCTGTTTTCTAAGACCTCTGCTACTTCTTAAACCGGACCACTGAATTTTAGGAATACCATTGTTTTATGTGGTATTATAAAATAAATGGTCCTCTAATTCCTAGAACAGAGGGCCACTTTGGTGTAGTGATTAAGGCATCAAGCTAGAAACTGGGAAACCATGAATGATAGTCTCATCTTAGGCACAGAGCCAGCTGGGTGAGTTTGGGATAGTCAGTCATGCTCAATTCTAAGATTGTGGCAGTGGCAAAGTACTTCCAGAAAGCTTTTCCCAAAAAACTGTAGGAACTAGCCCAGGCAGTTGCCAGAGTAAAAACTGATTCAAAGCCTCCCTACAAAAGAAAAATCCCTAGAATAAGCACAATTTTTATGGCTATCATATCTGGACTGTAAATATCCAGATGGGTGGCAGAGGTAGCAAAAAGAGTGTATCTCTTTGCTCTCAGCTAATTGCCATCCAGGCCTTTACAGTCTTGAAGTAGTTGCTCTTGACATAGCACATTTTACACACACACCCCAAAAAGAGATCCTAACATTTCCCTTACCTCACAGAGGAGGCAGTTGTGTGGAGGAAATTCCACACAAGCAATATGGTTCCATTTACTTCTCCACATCCTTCTATTTATTCTTTCTCACTGACCTAGCTATTTTATTTATATGCTGCTTTTAGAAGTTCTTCAAAGTGGTTTATTTTGTTAAGAAATACAACAGTTGGACAATATAATATAAAAAAGCTTACTCAACCAAATAAGCAATAACATATTTAAAAGAGTATAATCTGGAAAACAGCATTTTTTTTCAAGTTTCCTTTTTATCTGTATTAAATTAAGATGTGACACCTTTTCAAGTATATCATTTAAAGCAGACATGTCAAACCTGCGATATCATGTGACGTCGCATGACGTATCAGAGCTTTTTCCCCATTGCCGGCAATGGGGTGGGTGCAGTTTCCTCATGACACGTCCGGCCTGCGGGCCGGCAGTTTGACACCCCTGATTTAAAGATTGTCTAAAGCACCCCAGACTCAGAAACATAGCCAGGTTTTTAGGATCTTATGAAAGACTAACAGGATTGGGGCCATTCTAATCTCCAAAGGGGGGATCTTCCACTGAGTAGGGGCCACAGCGGTAAAAAAAACTGTCTTCTAGTCCCCATCAGCCAACATTTTTTGGATGATAGGATCTTTAGCACACCCATTCTAGTTGATCTAGTTGGATGAGTAGAGACTCTGGAAAAAAAGGTGGGCCCTCAGGTAAACCGGTCCCAAGCTAAATAGGGTTTTAAAGGTGATAACCAGCACCTTAAACTACATCCAGAAATATACTGGTAACTAATGCAGCTCTTGCAGAAGTGGTGTTATGTGTGTTATATATCTAGCACCATTTGCTACCCATGCAGCTGCATTTTGCACCAGTTGAAGTTTCTGGCTGCTCCTCAAGGGCAGCCCCATGTACAGCATGTTACTGTAGTCTATACCAAAGGTTACAAGGACATGAGTTACTATGAGCAGGGCCTCCCAATCCAGGCATGGGTGCAACTGGTGCACCACTCAAAGGTGTACAGCCTCCTAGCCACAGCTACTCTTCACAACTGTACCCAGAACTAAAGATGGAAGAACCTATTCTCCAGAGACTCACAGTTACTCAGTCTTGCTTAGGTTGTCAAAGCCCGTTTCCTCCCATTCAGTCCCCAACAGCCTCTAGACATTGGGATAGGATGTCCACAGCATCACTGTGTTAGAAATAAAAAGGCTAATATTGCAATTTGGTGTTAATCAAGAATATTACTTCCAGCTGAAGTTACTGTTTTTTTCTACTTTACTGTATTTAACAAAGAACTCAAAGAATCAACCTGCTGCTTATTACTGAATTACTTATCAGATATGTGAAGCAAAAGCTAAAGGCTTGTAAGCTCTAATTTCCACCTCAGTCTGGTTATTTTTGCTGCAATGTTATAATATCCTAATTTTACAACTTTATACTGCATATGCCTGCTAAACAAGACTACTTATTTATATTTTTTATTTATATTTTACAAAATACATTTTTACATATTTTTTATATTTTTTCAACAAACGATATACCAAAATACAACAGCCCTTAATTAACCAACCGCAAATAGAATCTACAGTAGTCTCAACTAAAATAAAAGCAGCAATAGCATGTTTCAAGGATAGCCAATCATAAATTAGCTCCTTTGGAACTTCTTCACAAGTAGACCAGTTACAAACTGACTGAGGCAAGGAACCAATCAGAAACTGATTTTCAAAATTCCAATGATATGATCCAAATAGAGATTAGTTTTGTTACAAATGCAAGAGCTCAGTCAGTTCCTGCTCAATTGCCTGTGAGCTTCCAAGAAAGTACATTATACAGCAGATCACTTTCAGTTCTGAAGATGCCAGCCATGCTTGCTGGTGAAACATCAGGATACCAGATAATTAGACTATGGCCTATTAGCCTGGAAGCTCATCAACACTGGATTGATGCTCGCTGTGAAAGCCTGCATCAATATACTCCATAATTGGCTTCCTTGGAGTCCCCAGCCAGATCAAGACAATTTGGGAACAGCTTAAGCTGTTTAAAGTATTAATAATTATAAGCAACATTTGAAACAAAATTGGAAAATAAATGACAATTATTGAAGATTTTGAAGTTTGCTATATTATGCATCAGTTGATATTTTAACTGCCACATTTTGCATTTATGGAAATGTCCAGATATTCCTCAGAGCTAGCCTATAATGGATAATTGCTATCATATCAGACTGATTTAGGAATGGCAAAAGTTGTCATGAACTCTCTCTTTCTCACATAAGCAACTGTGAGTGCAGGGATAGGATGGGATCAAGAATTCTTCCCAACGATGAGCTAGAGCAGGCATGTCAAACTCGCAACGTCATATGACGTTGTGTGACGTATCGCAACTTTTTCCCCATTGCCGGCAATGGGGTGGGTGCGGTTTCAGTATGATGCATCCGGCCCACGGGCCGGCAGTTGGACATGCCTGAGCTAGAGGGAGTGTCAGCTCTTTCAGAATAGATTGAATTCCAGTTGCCAAGCCACCTATTTTTTAGATGTAAACTTTTTAGATATAAACTTGTTTATTTTCATCATGATATCAAATCTATACAATTGTCAACAACGTTTTATTTATGTTATTCAATTTTGATAGTACCCGATTCCAGACTGACTCTGGACAGCTCACAATATAAAGAAAACACAGAAAAAAAACATAATAGAATAAATAAACAAGATAGAGAATCCAGACAGCCAACTAAATATACATAATGGGCTGACAATGTATGGAAGCATATGTTAAGCACATGCAGCATAGGGTTCTATCACTCTACCCCAAAACCTAGGAAAACAGCCAGGTTTTTAAGGCCTTCCACAACAATATCAGGGTGGGAACTATCTGGATCCTAGGTGGGACTTCATTCCAGCGGGTAAGCTCCACAATATAGAATCTGGATCCCAAGAGATGACTTATTGAGTGGACTTGGAGCATGCTCACTCTGTTGATTCATATTGGCCAGGAAGAAACCATGAAAGATAGGCGTTTCTTCAAATAACCAAGCCCTATATCAAATAGGAGTTCATGGGTAATAACCAGCACCTTAAACCACACCTGAAAGCATATTGGCAACCAATGCAGCTCATGAAGATTAGATGCCCATGGCCATAGTGAGACAAAGCCATCATTAGCTGTGCCACTGCTTTCTGAATCAGCTGAAGCTTCCAAATATTCTTCAAAGACAGGCCCATGTACAGCACATTGCAGCAGTTGACCCATGAGATGATGGGTGCATACTTCCTGCAATGTCCCAACTGAGCAAAGGTCCTCTTGGCCATTGTTGCCACTGCTCTTCAAGCAGGAGCTGTGAATACAAAAGGACACTACCTACTGGGAGTGTGGGTTTTTGTGTATGTTTATGTATGGGTTTTGGAATTTGGTAACAAAAAACAATATATTTTAAAATTATCAAATATTAATAGCACTTCATTTCAAACTCCCTCTGGACATCTAGCGATCTCATATTTTGTTTATTTGTTTTTTGTTTTAATTTATACAGCCAAAGTAAGATAGTATAGGCCAATGGGATGGAACAATTGTCAAATTGAAGCCATTGTGCACTCAAATAACTGGATGTGATCTAGATTAGTGTTTCTCAACTTCAGCAACTGAAAACATGT